CTTAAGGAAAAAGTGTCAAACACTTGCCTCGACCGATCGCATCACTTGCATTTCATCTTTCTCATTTCTGATTTTATTTATGCTTGATTTCAGAATATGGTTAATTTATTTATGTGTTTTATTGAAGGGTTTGAATTGAAGAACAACATGCGTTCACTCATATTGGGAAGTGAAGAATTCATAGAATTCATTTTATTATATTCGAAGTCGGTAAATTGCTATTTTATCTTCTCAAATCAGATTTCAGTAAGTCGAATGATGTTTCGATTTCTTGATGAATATAATATGCACATTATCGGTGTAATATCTCATACAGTTCTTCTAATGGGGCATTTGGGTTTGAGGTGGAGGTGGAGTTGGTCGGTGTGGATTTGGATTTGAGGTGAGGTGGGGTGGCGTGGGGTGGGTGAGGGTTGAGAGAAAGAAGACGATTGTGTGTGTGTGTGTGTTTTTTTTTATTTTTTATTTAATTATTTAACATGATAAATAAAAAGTTACTTTTTTGCCCCTTTTTAAAATATTAAAAATGTGGTCAAAATTAAAAATTTTGGTCAAATGACAAAATTATGGATGAAAACTGTCCAAAATGGCTTCATCTGCAATATTTGAAAATGTTTGGGGTGACGGTTGCAACAAATCAAAGGTTTGGGGAACATTTGCTAATATTTCAAAGGTTTGAGATTTTTACTACAATTATCGCTAATAAAATTTGGTAATTTAATATAACGTGTAGAGATAATTATACTAATTATTACGATCATTAGATGAATTATTAAAACTAATACTTTGTTTAACTAAGATTGATTTATATAGAGATATGAAATTGAATTAATTAAATAGATTCAATGAAAACTCAAGATGTGCAAATTAAATACTTTAGAATAATTCGACTGAATACTACAATAGTAATAAATCTTGATTGACGAATTAAAGGGGATCCATAAATAAAATTGTAAGTTTTAGCATCCATATTCGTACTTTTAAAACTCAAATTCAACAAATTGTATACGTTAGATAGTTTAGTTTTAGTTAGAATAATTTAGACACCAATCACAAAATTTTATTATTTTATTTTCGATCAAATTAAAGTTTTGAATATGATTCACTATATTATTTGTTACGATTCGTACACATGATATATATAAAAATCAACAACAATAGACATACATACATAGCTAGCGCGTTTTATGCCTTGCGTGTGCTGTTAATTACAATCGTCCGACACTTGGCATTCCTCATTTTTATTTATAGATAGAGACTAATGACTTTGGATTAGAAAGGAACGAACCAATCAAGCTAATTGTAAAACATATGATTTTCGAGGACTAAGTCCATGTTTGATTCCCTTTAAAACAAAACTATTTAATTCATATATTTATTTTTAATTACACATTTACACAATAAAATATTTTGCATGTAAATTTTAAAAAATTCATACTTTTTTATCACACGTTATTCAAAAAAATCACAATCCAATTTTATTTTTTAAATAATAACCATCAGACGGGGAGGAAAGATATCATGAAGCCACCACACATAATGATTGCGTTTTGAGTTTCAACCAACACCAACCTCATCAGCTGATTATATCAATAGCGTCAAAATTAGACTGGGTCCAACAGTGCACTAGGAAGAGTGAAAATTGATCTAGGCAAAGAAATTGAAGATCGGAAATTTTTAAAACAAGCAAAAAAGCAGCCGGTTCACCTCAATTTATTTATTTTTTGGCATTTTGTTTATGTTTTAAGTTTTATTAATGCCAGATCAATTTTAATTCTTCTAACTCTGACCCTTTTTTTTACAGTTGATCCCTGTGGTATTCACTCTTATGAGTTCAGGACCTATCGTTTGAATTTTGATGAAAACGTCCCCATATTTATGTTTCATTTGCAGAAATGGTCATTTCCATCCATAGCCATCCAAAATAGCTGTAAAATGAACATCCTTAGCCCCTGTTTGGTGGGAATCAAAATCAGGTTTTTAATGAAATGTGTGATTAAAATTAATTATTGACTTCGACTTAGATTAAAATCACGATTTTCATTTTTACCAAACATGGGCTTAATTTCAGAAGAACAATTTTGTCTAATGACTTAAAATAGAATATATAAAATGGGTAAATTGCACAAGGGATCCAAGACATTTCAAAAAAAGTGTTGTGGGTCTCATACCTTTTCATTTTTGTGTTTGAACTTCGAAGTTCCAACCATTGAATGGTTTCGCAAACAAAAAATAAAAAGGAAAAAGAAAAAGAAAAAGGAGAAGAAATAATAATAATTGACTCATAAGTCACCCACTGACCAATATTTGACCAATTTAAAGAAATAGCAAAAGGGCTTTGCATAATTATATCATTTAAAAAATTAAAATGTTTCAGAAAAAGAGAAATAAAAATAAGAAAAGAAAAGAATTCCCACCTCAGTAGGGGTTTGTAAAAAAAAAAAACTAAAGCCATTAGAACCGAATCAAACCGGTTGATTCGAGTTGTAGACCAAAAATCAAGAATCGATTCTAATGTCTCTTTTCTTTAGTTTATTTTTTAAATTCCTCCTAACCCAATAAAGTAATTAACTCTTTTTCAATTTATATTTTTTTTTTACTAAATTTAACTCATTCTGATTCTCACATCTTACGGTAAGAAAAATCAACCCTAATTTTGGGACCCACAACACTTATTTGAGATTTTTCGAACCCCTGGTCCAATTTACCCATTTTTAAGTATTCTATTTTAAGTTATTCAACAATTTTTTTTTCCCAATAAGAGCGTTTTTGATTGACATGAATAATATATCGTAAAATAGAAAATATTTTCCTTATTTTGAGGAAAGTAAAAATCTACTCCCCCAAAGAAAATATTTTCCTTAAAAATAAGGAAAATTAGACATATTTTTAAAAGTTGTAAAATATTTTTCATAGAAAAAAAGCAATCAAACACTTCAAAATATGAATTTCGATGAAAAACTGACATTTTTCATAAAAAATAAATGCAATCAAACACTCTCTAAGTTCTGAATCTATTGCACTTTTGACTTAATTAATCAGTGCAAAAAACAAGTAAAACAGATATTTTTACAATCTACAAATCAGTGTAAATTAGTTGTGTATCAATCTCGAGATCATTAATTCTTCATTCATTAATTGTCTAAATATTTTACAATTTGTGTCACGCAATTTTATTTTATTTTTTCTTTTTACCTAGATAAAAAATATCCTTGCAAAATTTGTGACGGCTAAGTTCCGTAGTAAAATTGATTTTCGACTTCGATAACCCTACAACATGATAATTAGTAGGATAAATCCAAAAAAATATAAGACACTATTGCAATTGTCCAACTGTAATCCTCTAAACATGTCAACTTGCTATTTTTATTATATTCATTAAGCACTTAGACGACTAATCTTGCATTAAGTCTTCAAATTATAATCAATCCTGCACATGCAAACCGGACACCAAGACAAAATCCAATATCAATTTTACATGAATAAACTACAATTTACAGATAGTCGAGTTTGAAGAAAAAAATATATAATCCCATTTTGAATTATATTAAATCTCAATCTTCGATTTTAAAATGTCAACTTTATTAATAATTTATTTAAACTTTAAATCGCTCGGGCTTGATTACTGTGACTCCCTTTATAAGGAAACACCTCTTCTCCTGAAATTACGAGACTATTTGTTGAATTTTTTAGAAGTAGTTGCTCGAGCTTATTATTTTTATTGAGATTTTAACTTTAACATGTAGTACAAAGAATATAAGTTTAAGATTACTGACTTTGAAATTTACTACTAGATTCGTTTGAATTTTTATTTAATTCCATCTTAAGAAATGAATCGAGAAAAAAGATATAGAAAATATTGACCAAGCAAAGTCATTCATAATTTTTGTGACCAACTTTCTATCACAAAAACAAATGATGAACTCCTAAAAATAAGACATTATTAAAAGTATGTATACAGGTTCATATTTCTACTACAAAATCATGTACCCACAAAAATTATCAAAAAACAAAAAGTACATCGAATCGAATTCATTATAAAGAAAAAATGATCATCCTTCTCTAAGAAAAAGATCTTTTAAACAGTCCATTTGATGATCTTGAATCTTGGATCAACCTTGCACTTCACATCCATAGTATTTGCAGTCGTTGGAGATTTTCCGGTGGGCACTGAAATTTTAATCCCATCACAATCGACCCTAATTCTGAGCTTCTTCGTTTTCAATTTTCCGATTTTGACCTTCACTTTGGTATCGAGCGTGATTTTGAGTGGCAAATTCTTGTTCTTGAAGCTCGATTTCAATGGAGAAATGTCGGTGCCATCGGGAAATGGGGATGAGCTTGAAAGTACAGTTTTAACGGTGGTAATATTTTTGGTAGCTTGAGTAAAGCCCGGTAAAGATCCATCGCCAACGGTGATGTCGCCAGAAAATATTTTCACGGAGATGGGGTCGTAGAGGAAGACGATTTTCTTGTTAGGATTACGTGCAGTGAGAGTGAGGTTGAAGGTGGAGGTGACGGCCGTGTCCGTGATGTTGAATTTCGAGAGGTGGAGGGTCGAAACTGAGAAGGAGGGGCGGTGTGGGCGGTAGAGGACCCAAAAAACGGTGCCGGCGATGGCGGCAAGTAGGAGGAGGAATAGAATTAGGAGGGTGGTGCAAAAACAGATGTAACAGCAGCAGCTACGGCGGTGGCGACGCCGTGGAGGTGGTTGAGGGCGGTACATGGGACGGTTGGCGTTGTGTAATTGAGCTTTGTTTGGGTTCGAGCCACCGTTTACGACGGAGGCAGGGGCGGGGGCGGCGCCACCGCCGTTGGCCGTCGGCTTGGCTGATGGGTACACTCTATCTGTCATATTGCGGGATTATGTAAACTCTCCTTTCCCCTCTCTTTCTCTCTCTGAGTGTGATTAGGGTTTGGGTATTATAATATAGTTGGTGATCTATAGAGAGAGAGGAGTGAGTGTTTTAGAGAGAGAAGAGTGAATTAGAAGGTGGATGATTAAATTTGCAGCGACAGCAACTGCTTAACAAATGCCTAAATACTGTCGGTTTTTAATTTCGGGATAATTTCATTTTGGTCCCCAATCTTTTAAAAATGACTGAAACATACCTCAACCCCTCAAAAGAGGGTTAAATTCACCGATGACCACCTAACTTCGTATTTAGTGTCACATTGGCCACCAAATTTAACTTTGTTTCACCAAACCACCCAATTTCATACTTAATCTAACATTAGCCGCCTAACTTAATTTTGTTTCACCATAATTATCTAACTTCATACTTCATGTAACATTAACTACCTAATTTAATTTTTTTCACCAACGGCCACTGAACTTCATACTTAGTGTCATATTAGTCACTCAATTTAATTTTATTTCATCGAGCCACCCAACTTCATATTTAGTGTAATATTAACCACCTAATTTGATTTTGTTTCACCATAATTATCCAACTTCATACGTCATTTAACATTATCCACATAATTTGATTTTGTTTCACCAATGACCACCAACTTCATACTTAGTGTCACATTGGCCACTTAATTTAATTTTGTTTCACCAGGCCACCTAATTTCATACTTTGTGTAACATTAGCAACCTAATATGATTTTTGTTTTATCATTGCCATCCAACTTCATAATTAGTGTAACATTAGCTATCTAATTTTATTTGTTTCACCAATGGCCACCAACTTCATATTTAGTGTCACATGGTCACCTAATTTGAATTTATTTCATCATGATCATATAACTTCATACTTAGTGTAACATTGGCCATCGAATTTGATTTTGTTTCATTATAACCACTCAACTTCATACTTAGTGTAACATTAGCCATCTAAATTGATTTTATTTCACTATGGTCACCCAACTTCATACTAGTTTCAGTCAAGTCACCATGCAACTTTATTTAACATAATTAAATTTGGTGACTAATGTGATATTAAATATAAAGTTTGATAGTCTGATGAAACAAAATTAAAATATGTGGTCAATGTGACACTAAGTATAAAGTTGAATGGTCATAATAAAACAAAATCAAATTAAATTGTCATTGGTTAAAAGTAACATTAGACTTCCCAATATTTGAGGAAATATGCATAGTTCATCCCTACGGACAGAATTCCTCCAGCCACTACAATCATGTAAAATGACAAAATTGTAAAAATTAAAAAGAAAAAGAAGAGAGATAGAGCACAAAAATTAAGGAAAATTGCGGGAGAAGTTTTAAAGCTTTTGAAAAGGTGCAAATGGATACCAAAGTAAATTAAAAAAAAAAAAATTAGAAATAAGAAAAAAATATATCTCATCTTTTCCTAGCCCCTTACCACCACAACCCCAATCCCCGAAGCTCATCTTTTACACTCAAAATAATTATAGTGTGTTTGATTGGCGTTATTTTACATGAAAAATGTCTTTTTTCTATCCAATTTTTTTACTTTTTGGGTGTTTAATTGACATTTTTTCATGAAAAGTAATTTTCAAAAATTGATCACATGATAATATTTTCCTCAAAAATAAGGAAAATATTTACTTTAGGGAGGGATGAATTTAGGGATGGCAATGGGGGGCAAGGCGGCGTCCCCTGTCCCATGAGGTAATTTCCCTCCCCGTTACCCATTTAACGTGGGGCAGGGCAGTTGCCCCATTTATTGCCTGATTTTTTTTCTTTTTATAATTTATTTTATCTCTCCCATTCATTAAAATTGGATAATAATATATTTTTTAATTTATTTTTAAAAGTCAAATTATTCAAATATATTTGGTAAATTAATGTTTTTATTGTTTGTCATATTTTTCAGATAATCTTAGTTTCCATTTTTAATTAGAACTAATGAAATTTCAAGAAATTTTTCCTTTAAAGTATTGAATTTAAAAAAAAAAAAAATTAAAAGGGCAGGGTACTCGTTATCCATACCCAACTCGAATACCCGATTAAGCGGGTAATCCCCTCCCCATTCGGGGTGGGATCTCATGGGTATCGGGTTCTTTTGTCATCCCTACTTCTTCACAAGAATTTGTTCCAAGCACCAATGACATCCATCGTAGTCCATGTCAACCCGCTTCCCCAATTTCGCATTCTACGAATGAGTGCATCAGTTGGCAGTCTTCTTTTCTCTATTCAGCCAACCATTTTGCATAATTTTCCAGTTGAGTGTGTCAAATCAGAGGAAATTCCAGTTTTGGTGCTTGTGTACATACAAGAATTGTATTGTCTATCCGATGTAATTCTAGAATAGCCTCTTTGAGATTTTGTTCATAAGATGTCTTTTCCAATTCAGAACTTGATCAATTTCTTCGGCAATTCAAAACCCAATCAATTTTTTCCCCAAACTCATTTTTCATCCCATATCAATTTCTCCTCCAAATCAATAGTCTCACAAAAACGTATCACCCTCTAATTGAAACGAGGTTCAAGAAAATTCAGAAATTTTTTTGTGATTTGAAATGTAGGATAAGAGTAATGGGTTAGTATGGTGTTTTAAATGTGTAATTGGTAGGTTTATATTGATGTTTTGGTATTTGTATATTTGTGATAATGTAGTAATGTTGACGGTATTGTGTAAGTGTCGATTATTGTAAAATTATCAAATGAAACCATGTGTTTTTGATATTTTTAATGAAATGGATTCCTGTTGGTTTACCTTATGATATTCAGATATTCTATCTCTTCTAATTTGCAAATTGCTGAAACAACATAGCGAGAGTCTTGTTGCAGTTTATGTGATGCTGAAATGAGAGAGAAAACTTGAATCAATACACCTGTTGCAGTTTATGTGATCCACGTGTCCTTTTTTAATGGTGTCGCTGGTCACGTGTGATTTCCATCCGTCACATAGATTTTTTTTGCTTAGTTGGGTGGACAGAATTGAAATGGGTGATGAATGAGTAATTTTTTAAAAGAGGGTGAGCAGTCAGTAACTTTTTATTTTTGGGTGAGCGAATAGTAACTAAAGACAAATATTGTTGATTGATGATTTAATTAATTAATAAAATAATCATAAACCTCAGAGGAAGTTTTTGAAGTTTACCCTTCATACTAATATTAGGAGTAATTAACACTCTGGATTTCTAATTTAATGTCACATTAACGCCACATAGACCGTGTTTGTAACCCCGTGGAGATAAATAGCATTACTTTTTTCATTTTGTAGCAATTTCATGCTCCTTCAATTTTTATCTCTCCTGTCATCCCTAGCCATAACTCTTATCACAGTTCAAGGAAATAAGGAAATGGCGGTGAGGGGACGAAATTGTTACACAATGAAAATGTAGACCTCAGCCTAACATTAAATAAAAAGTATATTATCTCCTCATTAACAATATATTTTTAAATCTTTGTCAAAGATAGTAGAATTCCTAATTATTTACACAAAACAATTATTTATTGGCAGTGACGACACCTGTTCCTTCAAAATATGTTTGATGTGTGTTACATTTCTCCTTAACGCTGAATTCAAATGGCAAACAAATTTGGTTGGTCCACGCCAATTGTCCATCCCAATCGCCCCGAATGACTCTAGCGTGTTGTCACTGTTGTGTTAGAAATTGGATTGAAAATCAGGTTTTTCCCTCAACTTATAAGCATGCTGGCAAATGCATTGAAGGCGGAAAAATATCAAACACCTTCCAGGCACTTGTAAAAGAAGATTTCAATGGAGGAATCACTTCTCGGAGGAGACAATTTTATTGTAGCTCCACTAGTAAGTCAAATTTCATTGTTTTCTGGATATCTATCTAGTGAATTTCTAAACTTTAATCTTGTTGATTCCTAAATTTGTAGACAGGAAATCAATGGATCTATCCTCAGATACGCAGATTTCGTCGATCTAAAAGTTCGCCGGAAATGAAAGACATGAATGGAAACTTACTTCCACGATCTGAATTCCCTCTGCGATCACACCTTCCAAGTTTCAAAACAGTAGCTATTTTCTTCTTGTTGTACGTGGCAATAGGTTCTTTATGCTTTTACTTCCTTAGGGACCAGATCAAAGGACAGAAAACAAATGGAATTCTAGATTCTGTTTATTTTTGCATTGTGACAATTACCACGGTTGGATATGGAGACCTTATGCCAAGTAGTGTATCCACAAAACTACTCTCGTGTGTATTTGCTATCTCAGGGGTGGCTCTGGTTGGTGTAATTGTAAGCAAAGCAGCAGATCACCTAGTAGAGAAGCAGCAAAAAATGCTTATTGATGCATTAGACATGCGTCAAGAACTAGGTCGGACTGAAACTCCGGTGGAGATTGAATCAGACAGTGTGCGAATCAAGCGTATGATAGTTTTGCTAGTGGTGCTCGTTATTATCGGGGCGGTCCTCCTAGCTACGATCGAGAAATTAGACCTTGTTGATGCCTTTTATTGTGTATGCTCTACGCTTACGACCTTGGGGTACGGAGATAATAGCTTCAGGACCAAAGCCGGGCGCATTTTTGCTATATTTTGGATTTTGGCAAGCACTCTTTGTTTCGTCAAGTTGTTGTGGTACATCGCTGAAATTAACACAGAAAGAAGACACGGAGCATTCAAGAGGTATATTACACAGAGTAATGTTATTTAGTTTAATTGGAGTTGCAACCACAATTTATGTGATGTTGATGTAATATTAAATAATAAGTGAAATTCATTTTTCATTTGGTCTATAATCTAGCGTCACTTAAACCATGGTTAACATTATTCTATTAAATATAGACCAACAAATTTGGATGTGCAGTTTTGACTTAGAATTGTAGGGCTAGTAGTTCTCTACAATTTCAACGTTTTGTTTTTTATTACAATAGGTTCATATAAAGTAGAATAATGTTATTTATCATTGTAATGATGTAACATAAGTGATGTTGCAATTTAGGT